TTTTAGAGACAGATCAAACAGAAGGGCAAGTTCTAAACACGGCGAAACATAAACTCTGAACATAAACAATTTCAGCCCGACTGTTAAATAAACTCTGAACATAAACAATTTCATACTATCTGTTAAACATAAATGTGTTTTGTAAGTCAATCTATCTATGGCGGGTTGAAGCTGGGTCCATTTCTCTAAACATTTCACAAAGATACTTTGTTTTTATTTTTTATTCTTGGACGAATCTCGATCTTTTAGATGTACTTGTTTTTGTGTGTTACAAAACTTTATGTTTTAAGTAATAAATTTCCTAATTTGTGTGACAAAACTTGATGTTTTAGATAATAAACTTCTAAATTTGAATGTTTTGAAAACTCGAAGACTTACACAATACAACACAACTTGGTGCACTGCACGACATAACAAAATATGATATTTTACAGACGACAACAAAACTTGATGTTTTACACGGAACAAACAAAAAATGATGTTTATTCTAGTGAACTTACAAGTGTTTGTCACTGCTAAAGTTGATTTTATTTTTTATACACTCAAAATTTCTGACAAAAAAAATGAGTATTATATTTTTTTGCTGTAATAAAAATATAATAAATTAAAATAATTTTTTGTTTACTAGTAGAAACATCAATATAATTATTATCAAAATTCTTATTTGAAATATCACCAGCAAGTGTATCAATACATAAACGTTTGAGCGGCTGGGCGAAATTGTTTTATATTGACTCGTCAGATGTTTTTGTTGATAACTATGTAAATAAGTTTGTGAGACTTATCTCCCCTAGCTTGATAAAACAAATAGGAATACTACATTACAGTATTGGAAGTAAAGTGCGGCAAACATGGTGTGTGTATGTAGGGGTGGGGTGGGGGGAGGGAGAGAGTGTGTGCCAAAATCTGTTATTGATAGGTTTATTTTAGCATAAGATTAAATACCAGAGCGGTGGGATATCTGATCGATCACGATTGTCTGCCCTTGATACCTGCTACATATGCAGGAAATCCTGGCGCGACTGACGTAACAGCAGATGTATTGTGGGATTTGGGAAGCAGATGATTTCTGGGATTTGCCGGAAACGGCTAATATATTGTGGGATTTGGCGGAAATATCAGATGCATTCTGGGATTTGACGGGAATAGCAGATGTAATGTTTGGTTAAGGCGGAAGTAGCATATGATTTGTTGGACATGTAAGGCATTTTGGATTTTATGGGAAAATGAGCTCTGGGATTTGGGTTTTTATGGGGAAATCTACGGTTTTATGGGGAAATGTACTCTGGGATTTGGGGTTGTATGGGGAAATGTACTCTGGGATTTGGGGTTTTATGGGGAATTGTACTCTGGGATTTGGGGTTTTATGGGGAAATGTACTCTGGGATTTGGGATGGTATGGGGAGATGTACTCTGGGATTTGGGGTTTTATGGGGAAATGTACTCTGGGATTTGGGGTTTTATGGGGAAATCTACGGTTTTATGGGGAAATGAGCTCTGGGATTTGGGATTGTATGGGGAAATGTACTCTGGGATTTGGGATTGTATGGGGAAATGTACTCTGGGATTTGGGATTGTATGGGGAAATGTACTCCGGGATTTGGGATTGTATGGGTATATGTACTCTGGGATTTGGGATTGAATGGGGAAATGTACTCTGGGATTTGGGGTTTTATGGGACCAGCTGATGGTCTTTGAGATTTGGGGTTGTATCGGAACAGTTGATGTAATCTGGGATTAATGGAAACCATAAAATAGTCGGTTTTTAAAACGTTTGAAACAGGTTTAATTCTTTTTAAAACCGAATGATGATTAAAGATATATTGATGTGTGTGTATAAGAGAAGTTGATATATCTCGGAAAGAGTAAGGTTAAAATGTGTAACATCGGAAGTTAAAATGTGTAACATTGGAAGTTAAAATGTGTAACATCGGAGGTTAAAATCTGTAACATCGGAAGTTAAAATCTGTAACATCGGAAGTTTGACATTTTATAGTTGTTGAGGCTGGGAGTTTGGTTTATGGTGTGAATAGGGTGTGTTTGATGTAGGTAAAAATGTGGGTGGTGTTTAAGATTTTGGGTGGGGTGTTTGCGGATAGGCAGATGTTGAGAATGCAAGCACATGAAGATGAGTATGCAGGAATTTTTTGTAACCATGCACAAGTAAATTATGTGTTGATGGGAGTTCGGTGCCGCCTTCATTTAGAGATGCCTACATCAACACGTCTGCTGGTATGAATGGCATTATCTGCTTGTTTTAAACACGAGGGCCGCACGCTACTTGCAAATCTCCAACCCAGCCTGCTTGTTTCTCGCGTGCGTTTATTTATAGACGCACCGGCACGTGCAGGAGGTGAGCATAAGGAAAACATTTGTTCCTACGTCACTTGTGTGAAGACTCGCTTCCGTTTGTTTACATCGAGGTCAAGGACGAGCTGAATTGTCAAGCCTGGAGACCGCGAGAATTGTCGCGTCTTTTGATTGGTTGTTTGAAGACCTCGAGATATTTCGTGTTTTTTTTTAATTGGTTGTTTTAAGATCGCGCTTTCCGCTTGCTGCAACTATATTTTTAGAGAATCCACCAAATATTTGAGAGGAATCCAACATGAATATTTTAAAACATCCCGCTGGAAACAAATAACGGACTTTTTAACCTATTTTAAGAGAAATGCGAGTGTGTTTTTTTTTCAATTTAAATTTTTAGAAGAACTTTAAAAACGGGAATATCAAGATGGATTATTTCCGGTTCCGTTACGTCACACTTTAGAAATCTGACGTGCATGTCAGATAGCAGATGACCTTGATCTTTAATGTCAGGGCCTAAGACATCAAGCTTGGCAATTACGTAATGGCCGGATTTTGTCTTAGCTTTGAACATGTACGCTGTTAATACATTTACAAATCTTTGGTTTCGTAACTCTGAACATTTTATAATTAATTAATCTACACATGTGAATGAAGATTAAGTAAAACTCGACTGTTGCTACCATAATGGGCAGTGGTGTACTGTTAACATTTGTCTTGAAGTTTGTTCTCAAAATTTAACAATAATCCACCGCTAAAGAAATAACACACACTATAATACAAACCACAATTTTTGACTCCCCCATCCCCATCCCCACTGATAATACAAACATTGATATAGGACAGTTTGAGGCGAAGACATAATGTTGACATATATCATCACATCAGCCGTTATTGCCTTTAAGTTCATGATTAGGGTCAAGGCAAGAATAAAATATAATGTCAGGGTTAGGTGAGGGATAATAGCATAAATATACCCTCAACCCTCAAACTAACCCTGTCAACCTAGGTACTATAGTTAGCTAAAACGTCTTTGCTAATCTAGGTACCATATTTTGCTAACACGTCTTTGCTAACCTAGGCATTATATTTTGCTCACACGTGTGTGCTGAGGTGAGAACACGCCAGTTACACATCAACCAATGTGGTAAGCGGACATACAATACCCAGCATACCCTCCACCTTTTCGTCTACATTAGTCTACAACATCTAACTTTTTAATTACCCTCTTCGTTTTCACAACAACCAATCGTAATTCAACCGTAACGCGGGTTTGTTTACCGAGTTGCTATGACGACCGCTATGGTTTCGCGGGTTAACAAAAGATGTACTCACACTGTTCTTGATGGCGAGGTCTGATCTATGCAAATCACGTGCGTTATACACAAACGTTTATGTAAATTTCTCCAACTTTAAGACACGATAAAAATCTTCGAAATCTAAAAGCTGAAATGTTGTGTCCACCCAACCGTGACAAAGTTTAAAAGCGCTCTATTAATAAACCTGGTCAAACAGTAGACCTATGGCTAATTCAGATGACTTGATTTCCAATCTTTCTCCATCACCTGAGTTCATTTAAATTATCTGTTGATCCCCTTGGAGGTACCTGTTTGGTGTCTGTTAATGAAAATACGCCTTCGTTATTCATTTCATCTGTAGCACGTTTTTCTTAGTAAAGCATCTTTTTACATATTTACCTTTTAATCACTTGCTCAAGGGAGAGTTTCTGCAATAATCTCATACATATAGAAATAATAAAGTACATCAAAGACTTTTTTCACCATACGAAATCACAACTGCTAGACAAATGTAACACCTTTTTAATTCCCTGCGGTAAAATAATTTCTAACACCTACTAGCACCCATATACAACAGGGGAGGTAACTTTAATCTCTTTACGCGGGAATGTTTGAACTTTGTGCTGAACTGTAACAGGAAATGACGTCAAACTTTATCCGCCATGTTTGACAAATCCGCTGGCTCAGCGTGCGCATGCGTCATACGATCCCAGAAGCCCCTACACTGGCTCAGTCTTGATTGCCCGATTTTTAATTCCATCATTTTTTTTTCTGGCACTATTTGCATTCCAGACGATAGATTATCCAACTTTAACAGTTTAAACCACACCCCCACAGCCCAATACTTTATCGGTTAGGACAGATATATCACACACATATACACACAGGCGCATACACACACACACATGCGTGTGAAAAAAAAAAACAGTTTCCAGCACAAAACGCGTGGTGTATGTCAATATATATAACACTGCCCCCCACCCTCTCCCCACCACCACACACATCTGAAGTTATAAATGACGGTTAATATGGAAAAAATTAACACAATTAAACATTAATTACGAAGGTAATTTGATATTACAAAAATAGTAATATTCCATATAGCGAGTGTCTATGCATGACCTCACAATGAATGAGTGACCTTTCATGTAATCTCAATAAAACACTTAGTGACTTCCCCGTTAAATGACTTCTCTGTACGTTCATACAACAGTACTGTAAATCTCCAGATATTGGATGTTACCACTAAAACCAAATAGTTATCAATTACGTCGTGTGTTTCAGATTCTAATATCAATACTGTAAAATCTATAAATATATGATGCTTCTGTAAATCTCTAAATATATGATGCTACCACTAAATAAAACACTTACCAATGTTGAAATTGTGTGTTTCAGATGGACATGTACTGGCCAGTCAGCCGTTCTACCTCAGCTGGGCGTGGATCTCACTAGAGAACAACACCTTTGTGGTCAGCGAGATTGACCAGTACTTGAATGTCACGCTCAGGAGGCGGGGCAATATGGAGGAGACAAGCTACGTCAGTAAGTGGTCATCTTGTTGGTGTAAGTTGTCAGAATAGACAGTCATAGTGATTTGACACAATAATGACATAGATAACTTAATATTGTAATAAAATATCAAAATGCTGACATAAATTTTCATAACACAGGCATAGCCTGCAACTATGGGACTCATTATATTTTTGTTATGTTAAAAATTTGCTCCTGAAGGCATTTTAAACCATACAAAGGTTGGTGATTGATAGGAGAATGTCATAGTTCATAGATAAGACATTGTCACAAAATAGAATCACTTTGATATCATAACACCCCCCACACACACAAACACCCACATATACACACTCCCTCACCCCCACCACCCCCACCACCCCCACCCACACCACCCACACCACCCCCACCCTCACCCCCACCACTCTCACCCCCACCCCCCAACTTGCACCCCACCACTCTCACCCCCACCATCCCACCCCCACCACTCTCACCCCCTCATCTCTTGCAGCCATCCAGGTGGTCGACGGGTCAGCCAAGTCAGGTGAGGATTTCATCAGCAAGTACGCCAAGCAGGTGCAGTTTAGTCCAGGTGAGTGGGACAAATAAGTAAACAATATATTCACTAGTTGAATACAATGTGAGACAAATAAGTCGACAAGATATATTCGCTAGTTGGGCAAATAAGTCGACAATAATTCACTAGTTGAATACAATGTGGGACAAATAAGTCGACAATATATTCACTAGTTGAAGACATATAAGTAGACAACATATTGACTAGTTGAATACAACGTGAACCAATAAGTAGACAACATATTCACTAGTTGAACAAATAAGTAGACAACATGAAAGTTTAAACAAATAAGTAGACAACATATTCACTAGTTGAATACAATGTAAACCAATTATTATACAAAATATTCACTAGTTGACGAAATATAAAAAGACAACATTTTCACTAGTTGAAGAAAGTTTAAACAAATAATTAGATAACATATTCACTAGTTGAAGAAATATAAGTAGACCACATTATTCACTAGTTGAATGCATTTTGAACCAATACCTAGACAACTATTCAGTAGCTTGGAAAAGTTGGCTTAAAAAAAGTAGACAGACAAATATTCACCGCTCCAAACGGGTTGGACAAATAGATGGACAACAGTTCACTACTGCAAGTCGACCGAGCAACAATGTAAGAGCGAGTAGTGAGATAGAAAAGAAAGATAGCAGAAATAAAAGGAAAGGCAGAAAACCCGAAATTAGATAATCGAGAAAACATGGGATGGAATTTTTTGAAAATGCATTTTAATTTTACGCAAGAAAAACAATAGGGTAAAAACGGTTGTAATTTTAGATTGGAAAAATAATGTAATAAAAATAAATCTGGCCACTTAATATGCCAGGTTTCATCGAAACGTGAAACCCTTCTTAAACTAAGAAAAAAAAAATGTAAACATTTTAAAATATGCGAGCACAAAAATGACTCACTTGACGATCGAGGCTTCAGCACACACCGTCTGTTTCAATAGGCCAGGAAAAAATTACAAACTATTGCCAGGTTTTACAAACCGAAATTTTAAAGGCCAATTGTGTAACGCACTGGGAACGGATTTTGTAAACACGAAATTAGATCTCGGTATTTTATAAGAAGAAATATTAGAATTTTGAAACTACTTTATATGTGTATTCTCCATATAGAAAAAAAAACGTATATAACCATGCATATATTTGTGCCACGAGGAAACGCCCATGTATTTTTCACGTAGTGCAGAATTTAAAAATATTTCTAAAGACGATTGAAGGCAATTACTAAGTGGGCTCTCTAGCTCCAAATTAATGGCAAGATTTTCTCTTCATATAACCTATATGGAGGAAGGGGGGGGGGGGGGTTAGGATAAGCTATGTGAGAGCCCGGGGCGGATCTATATAGCAGCCCGTGGCTCAGTTCTGTAGGAGCCCGGGCTCAAGAGCTAATTTACCCTCCCCTAGATGTCTTTTATGTTCATTGAAAATGACCCTGAAAATGAATATTCAGTTGTACTCCATTATTCGCGAACTTCCTTTATACTCGGATATATCTACGTGAAGGACAGTATAGCGTGAATGAATTAACCCACAATGTCCCCAGCTATTGAGAAAGTTCTGTATTGATATGTTAAACCATGAATTAACCCACAATGTCCCCAGCTATTAAGAAAGTTCTGTAATGATATGTTAAACTAAGTGGAATAAGCTCCTTGTTTATTCCCATCATATAGTTTAACGTGACGCACAAACATTCTGTATATAGGCAATTTTATAGGCACATACGCACAGACTTTCTGCACTAAAACTTTATTTAATGGAGCCCTTAGATTCACCGCTAGCCATCTATTGAAGTAATGCCGTTAGTTTTTACATTTAAAACGTCAACTTCGACAAATTTCTCACCCCAGACCTCACGCCACTTGCATAAATCATGGCGTCCTATCTAGGTAAGGAAACTGTGGTAACTCTAATTGCTTCCCCTACGCTTGGTATCACGACTTACTTCCCCTGCCAGGCTAAGTTGTAAAACTTACATAAAACTTGTTTCATAAATTGACCTTATTTAAAATTGGGAGGAAATTAAATCAATTTACCTCAACTAGATTCATTACGATTTTCTTATTTTTTTTTACTTTCTAAACAACCATAATTGGATTTTAACAAACCTGAATCTTACACGCCTCATTTAATTAAAGACCACAAAAAACATCACAATACAATAAACTTTGTTCTACATCGTTTAAATGTTTAGCAGCGTATATCCCAGTCCAAGAAACATTCAAACTAATTGTGAAAAAAAAGTTAATTGCTTCATTACCGGAATCCAAGGGGGCGTGTCTGTGCCGGGATATACCGGGGATTAACCCAGCTCACGCAGGTGCCACACGCCTGCTTATCCAAGCAGTACTCAATCCCAGATAATATTTTATTTTACGATGTATGAGAGCGATAAGGGTCCCGGAGGGCAATAAACATTTGACAACTGTTTTAAAAATAAATTTAAGTGGTCAGTTTTTTTTAGTATTTCATTTTCAAATTGTACCCCCCCCTCAAAACTTAAAGATAACATTTGTATCTTGGGCACTTTACATTTTTCATGAGGTACTTGATGGAACATTCTACCGTATGATTGGTTCCTGCGTGCATTGACGTGGATTCAATGAACTATATTTGGTTTGCAAACACAAAAAAATGCATACTATCGTTTTTTTTTAAACCTTGTTTTTAAAGAAGTCGTTCATTAGATGGAGTAAGGGACAACTTGCATCAAAGTGTAGGGACCCGTTTGTGGCATTCAATATATATATATATATATATATATATATATATATATATATATATATATATATATATATATATATATATATATATATATATATATATATATGTATATATATATATATATATATATATATATATATATATATATATATATATATATATATATATATATATATATGTATGTATATATATATATATATATATATATATATATATATGTTAGGGGGCCACTATCACAAAACCAGAAGACAGGGGTCCATTTATGCCAGTGAGCTGATGTTTTCATCTTGTGCCGTGAAGACCACCTCACAAGTTTTAAGACTGAAAGAGTCACGTGCAACCAGCCCTCGTCTGTGTGTTCCTGTCTTTCGTGTTGTCTTTAGAACTGACACCACCCATCTCATCAACCAGCATGTACAGATCATATCTAAAAAAAAGGGAAAAATTCAAGAGAGGAGGTAACTCATGCAGACCTCGTCCTCGCGGGTTGTTTCCCTTGATGCTTGAAATTATCTCCCCATTATCAGTGTTTTGATTCAAACAACGAACGACCTTGAGAATTTTTAAAAATCCAAACATTAACATTGGCTGATCATCGCACCACCAGGGCGGCGCTGGGGTGTTTCAAACAATATTTTTATCTAACGCATGCGCAGACTGGAACCATGAAATTACAAGTGAAAACAATGTACACTATGACAAAGCCGAAACTTTTCTTCTAAAACCACCACCCTAAACCTAGTTCTTAACTTAATCTTTATCCTTATCCTGACTCTTTCCCTGATTCTAATCCTCATAACTTTGACCCAACCTGTTAACCCTAACCATATCAGCCTTTATCCATGCCCAGACACTTTCCCTGAACACAAACCTAACCGTTAACTTGACCATCGCGATACATTCTGAGATTAAAACTATAACACCACTTTCCCATTCCGTACTTCCCTTTCTGTGAATGATTATAGGAGTCTACCTCTCATGAAGCACTTTGTTTTTATGCATTGTATATCTGGGTCCTTATAACGAGTTTTTTTTCCAGACCTTATCTTCGGGGGGGGGGGGGGGGGTACTTGACAATTTCAGGGGTGGGGAAGTGTTGAAGTGGTAGTTGGGCGGACTACATTTTCCGGAGGGGTAGGGGGCAGGTAAAAGTATATATTTTCTATATTAGTTCTATTTCGTGCGCCCCCCCCCCCCACCCCCCTCCAGGAGAGATGCCTAAAAGAAAGTCTGCTTGTAACATGATTAACTTAATGAGATGATAATTAATTATCTTTGATTGAAGGTTCTTGTGGTGTGTCGAAAATGTGAACATTTGGCTGAGGATGCTTGTGGGTGCGTGTGAGTGTGTGGGGGGGATGTGTGTGCTTGTGTGGGTGTGTATGGGTGTGTGTGAGTACGTGTGGGTGGATTTAAATTTGTATCTATATCAACAGAAAATTGTAAACCCACTAATTCTTGAAAACATGTACAATATACACGTCTAGCACTCAACCGTAAATGTTTAATGTAAATATTTAAGCAATCGGAAACGAATATCCTAATCAAAGCAACCGATAAATTATTTTGTCTGTGCGTCTGTGTGTGTTTCTATAAACTCTAAACACTCATGCCATTTCCGGTAACACGGCGGAGAGATAGGACAAATTACATCAGATAATGCGCGTGCGCGTGAAAATTGAGTTCTGATACCCCCAAGTTGTGTAGTGATTTCACCACGTGGGAATTTGTTTTGAGAGAGTTGCTTAGCTCTGAGATGATGCCACGATAGAGCTTAAAGTCTGAGAACGGTTTCATTTCTTGCAATGTCTTCCATGATGGTTTTAATTTGAGTTTAAAACATCGGAATGGTAAGAAATAAAATTATTTTGTGTGCGTGTAGTTATACAATATTATACATGATAAGAAATATTTTTTTTGGTTGTATGTAAAGGTTTACGAGGTTTTACAAGAAGCGTTTTATCCAACCATTATCATGGTGTAGGTAACCATCTACTTCATGTTGTAAGTTTAGCAAAGGATTCTACAACCTGCATATTCAGAAGAAAATTATGCTATTTGATTTAATAAATGTTTTTTTTCTTTGAGTATAATAAATTAAATAGTTTCTAAAATAAGTGGATAAATGAAAATATATTCATGGAATAAATGTAGGCATTTTCATAAAAATAAATGCTGCCCAAATCTGGTTTAGAATGAGTCTAAATTAATCTTCTAAATTATTTTGTATTTTTTTTTAATGGATAAAAAGTTTCCTTTTAATGAAAACAAATGCACAACATTTGACATAAATTTTCATGTTAAAATATTTTCATGAAAATGAATACCGAATATTGAGACAAGAATGCCCAAGTGTAAATGAAAATAAATGCCAAACATTGAGACTAGAATGTCCATGTTTAAATGACCATCTTTAAATGTCCATGCTTTAAATGTCCATGGTTCAATAACCATGTTTAAATGACCGTTTTTCAATGTCCATATTAATATTTCCATCTTTTAATGTCCATGTTTAAATGTCCGTGTTTAAATGTCCCTATTAAAATGTTCATGTTTAGTGGGCCATGTTTCAATTCCGTGTTTAAATGCCCATCTTTTAATGTCCATGTTTAAATGTCCGTGTTTCAATGTCCGTATTTCAATGTCCATCTTTAAATGTCCATATTAAAATGTCCATGTTTAAATGTCTATGTTTAAATGACAATGTTTTATTGTCCATGTTTCAATGTCCGTATATTAATGTCCATGTTTCAATGTCCATATTTCAATGTCCATCTCTAAATGTCCATCTTTAAATGTCCCTATTAAAATGTCCATGTTTAAATGTCCCTATTAAAATGTCCATGTTTAAATGTCCCTATTAAAATGTCCATGTTTAAATGTCCCTATTAAAATGTCCATGTTTAAATGTCCCTATTAAAATGTCCATGTTTAAATGTCCCTATTAAAATGTCCATGTTTAAATGTCCCTATTAAAATGTCCATCTTTAAATGTCCCTATTAAAATGTCCATGTTTAAATGTCCCTATTAAAATGTCCATGTTTAAATGTCCCTATTAAAATGTCCATGTTTAAATGTCCCTATTAAAATGTCCATGTTTAAATGTCCCTATTAAAATGTCCATGTTTAAATGTCCCTATTAAAATGTCCATGTTTAAATGCCCCTATTAAAATGTCCATGTTTAAATGTCCCTATTAAAATGTCCATGTTTAAATGTCCCTATTAAAATGTCCATGTTTAAATGTCCCTATTAAAATGTCCATGTTTAAATGTCCCTATTAAAATGTCCATGTTTAAATGTCCCTATTAAAATGTCCATGTTTAAATGTCCCTATTAAAATGTCCATGTTTAAATGTCCATATTAAAATGTCCATGTTTAAATGTCCATATTAAAATGCCCATGTTTAAATGTCCATATTAAAATGCCAACATTAAAATGTCCATCTTTAAATGTCCCTATTAAAATGTCCATGTTTAAATGTCCCTATTAAAATGTCCATGTTTAAATGTCCCTATTAAAATGTCCATGTTTAAATGTCCATGTTTAAATGTCCCTATTAAAATGTCCATGTTTAAATGTCCCTATTAAAATGTCCATGTTTAAATGTCCCAATTAAAATGTCCATGTTTAAATGTCCCTATTAAAATGTCCATGTTTAAATGTCCCTATTAAAATGTCCATGTTTAAATGTCCCTATTAAAATGTCCATGTTTAAATGTCCCTATTAAAATGTCCATGTTTAAATGTCCCTATTAAAATGTCCATGTTTAAATGTCCCTATTAAAATGTCCATGTTTAAATGTCCATATTAAAATGTCCATGTTTAAATGTCCATATTAAAATGCCCATGTTTAAATGTCCATACTAAAATGTCCATGTTTCCATGTCCCCCTCAGGCCAGAGAGAGAAAGTCTGGCGCCTGAGGATCAACGACGACAGCATGTTCGAGAACATGGAGACGTTCGAGCTGAGGCTGAGCGACCCCGTGGCTGCGGTGCTGGAGTTGCCGGACGTGGCGCAAGTCACGATAGTGGATGAGGAGGACGGTAGGGAGACACGGAGCATTAGACTGTTGGGGGGGGGGGGCGGTAGGGAAACACGGAGCATTAGACTGTTTAGCCGTTGAGGGGGGGGGTGTAAGTCACATCATTGTGGTGTGGGGAGGGTGTCACGTGTCTTAGTACTGTTGGGGTGGGGAGGGTATCACGTGTCTTAGTACAGCTGATCATTAGACTGTTTAGCCGTTGTTGGGAGGGGGGAGCAAAGAGAGAGGGGGGGGTATGTATAAGATATGATTTAAGTTAACTAATGGCGGATCCTGCTAATTTGAAAATGAGAAGGACAAATTCTGGAGGGTATAGTGGAAAGAAAGGCATGGACTTTTTTTTTAAAGAGTTGAAACATGATATTATGTTGTACTGTCTTGGCGCTTCCTATGGTCATTCAACGAATGATCACTGCTTTTATTCCAGAGTCCCAGATCTTCTTCGTTGACCGTGAGTACCGTGTGTCTGAGGATATTGGTGTCATCCTGCTCCCCATCAAACGTATTGCAGACTCCAGGCAGGAGTCCACGGTTATATGCTACACCGTACAAGGTATAGTGTACTGTCGTTATGTGTCTTAGTACTGTTGGGGTGGGGAGGGTGTCACGTGTCTCAGTACTGATGGTGTGGGGAGGGTGTCACGTGTCTTAGTACTGTTGGGGTGGGGAGGGTATCACGTGTCTTAGTACTGATGGGGTGGGGAGGGTGTCACGTGTCTCAGTACTGATGGTGTGGGGAGGGTGTCACGTGTCTTAGTACTGTTGGGGTGGGGAGGGTATCACGTGTCTTAGTACTGATGGGGTGGGGAGGGTATCACGTGTCTTAGTACTGTTGGGGTGGGGAGGGTGTCACGTGTCTTAGTACTGTTGGGGTGGGGAGGGTATCACGTGTCTTAGTACTGATGGGGTGGGGAGGGTGTCACGTGTCTCAGTACTGATGGTGTGGGGAGGGTGTCACGTGTCTTAGTACTGTTGGGGTGGGGAGGGTATCACGTGTCTTAGTACTGATGGGGTGGGGAGGGTATCACGTGTCTTAGTACTGTTGGGGTGGGGAGGGTATCACGTGTCTTAGTACTGTTGGGGTGGGGAGGGTGTCACGTGTCTTAATACTGTTGGGGTGGGGAGGGTGTCACGTGTCTTAATACTGTTGGGGTGGGGAGGGTATCACGTGTCTTAGTACTGTTGGGGTGGGGAGGGTGTCACGTGTCTTAGTACTGTTGGGGTGGAGAGGGTGTCACGTGTCTTAATACTGTTGGGGTGGGGAGGGTATCACGTGTCTTAGTACTGTTGGGGTGGGGAGGGTGTCACGTGTCTTAATACTGTTGGGGTGGGGAGGGTAGAGCATCTTCTGTGTGAGTGTCTGACACCCCCATAGACACCCCCATACACGTTAGTACCACGTGTGTTTAAGTTGACGCTGAATTGACCTAGGCAATAACCCATGTATTGACCCACTAACTGACTCAGGCAATTACCCATGCAGTGGCCTACGAAATTACCTTAGTAATGACCCATGAAAGAACCCTCACAACGCCAAAAGCCTAAGTAATGACTCGCACAAGGAAGTATACTATATATATATATATATATATATATATATATATATGTGTGTGTGATTAATAATGCAAAGTCTAACACCCACTTTAATGTCGTACCCCCCCCCCCCACAGGCACTGCTCAAGGCCAGTTCCCCATCACCCCCTTCTCCAACTCGGACTTCGTGCCCCGACCTGCAGACGACACAAGCATCATCAGGGTGGGCAGGGATGAGAAGGAGAGCTTCTGCGAGATCACCATCATCAACGACAACAACAACGAGGGGGAGGAGCAGTTCACGGCCGTGCTGTCTGACCCCACCGGCACCAAGCTGGGCCGGAACTCGGTCATCACCATCATCATAGAGCCGGACAAGCAGGACCGTAAGTCACGTGATCTAAATCTGGGGAGGGGGGTGTAGGGGTGGTTGGGGAGAGGGGTGATCCTTATGTGGACTAAGGTCAAATTATGGAATACATGCATGTGCGTATGTGTGAATCATTGTGTGTATATGTGTGTGCATGTGAATGTTTATGTCTGTGTTAACCTGTATGAGTGTTTCCACGTCACTGTGTGTGTGTTGTGTTTATGTGTGTGTGTGTGCGCGCGTGCGTGTGTGTGGGTGGGTGTGTGTGTGTATGACATTCAGGTTATAGCCATTTCATCATTAGCAAACAACGCCATTCGACTAACACCTCAGTTTTACTCAGTACCGCGCAGTCAGCTTGAACACATGCACATATTGTAATGAAATCCAATAAGTCTCACGTTACACAAAACATTTCAACCCAATATAAAAACTAGCATATTTGTTTATATAGCACATAGTTTTTAACCCATTATAAAACTAGCGTATATGTTTAGATAGCATAACCCATTAAACCCCATTATAAAACGAGCATATTTGTGTCAAAAAAAGGACACACTGATATCACTTCTAGGCGTGAGAAAACGAGGGACAGCCCGAAAAGAAAGTCATCCAGCAGTAGATATTTATGTTCAACAAATTACCCCCCCCCCCCTATCCCGGCATTCCCTTCAGTTTTTCCGTGTGAAACACTGGTTCTGTGTTTCTTATCAAGTGTACCGTTAGAAAATATTCGCCTCACCCTCCCCCCCCCCCCCATCCCTCACGACCATCACCCCCCCCCCCCCACACACACACCCCATGTGCATTCTCGTCTGCTGTGCACGAGCGGGTAATCACCTCGGCTGTTTGATGACGTCATCTGACGTCTGCCACTATCTCTGCTGGCCCGTTCACTTGGCTTTGCCTCCCCATCAATACGTCATTTCAAAAATTTAAAAACGTATCTAATTTCTATTCGCCCGATTCCAGTTAGTAAAAAAAAATTCCAGTTATCTTTTTATTTCAATAAAATTCGCCATCACGAGACATAATTAATTATGTTTAGATTAAGCAATGTCAGTATGTAGGCTAAAAGTGACCCTCGTTAACCCTAACTTTATGTATTTGTTATTTGGGTAAAAGTGTCATAAAGGTTAATTCAAATCATTTTTTTGAAATAGCTATTAAGTTTGTAGCAAAGGCAAGTAAAATAATATATTCGATTATGCTTCGATATTCTTAACTTAAAAGAAATAGAATTTCACCATAGTTTAACACTAGCCATGTCCAGCGATTGGTCAACTGCGACTCCATAGACCATGTCGATTTGTCTTTAAAAACTGATTCTAATAAATTAGTTGGGGTGGGTTGGGGGTGTACATATTTCATTCGTAATAAAGTAGTTTCTACAGAGGTAGAATCCGGGTCCAAGTCAGTAGAACGTCTCTTAGTCCACTCAGCTCTGATGCGTACCTAACTCAAGTTGGGAAAAGTAAAGGCGGCTGGGCATAGTGCTGACCACAATATCCCTTCATATGCCGAGGCCATAGAAACAGGTGAACTCTACTTCACTTACCCCATGGGCTGTCAGGTTCGAAAAGGGAACTTTGCTAAAACTAACACAATTTTCTTTAGCAGAGTTTATTAACTGAGCCCTTTATATTTCCCAACTTCAGAGTTGTAGTGAAACAGCCAAGGTGGTCTGTTGTTAAATACCTTCATGGATTGCTATACAAACACAACTCAGGATATACGTTGCGAATTAAACATCTGTTGGTAATTAAAAACAGACTTCTGCTTTTGACACCACACTAGTAATGAACTAATTGTTTTGGCACAAATAATCACGCATATTTTTATCTCCCTAAAAATTATTATCCCGCCTAGCAGCTTTCTAATTTGATTTACTTTTTAAAAAAATATTTTCTCCTTTGGATTGGTTTATTTAACATTTATCTGGCCAGTGTTTCGCGTTAAACGCTATCAGCTCCTCACTACGAGGCTGCCAGCCAGGACGTCGAGTGTAATCATATTTACGGCCTAGTTAGCCCACCGCGCGGGGCATCTCTGACTTTAACGACCCGGGATGAATGACCAGGGCAGTAAACATCCCGTGGGCAGCAGCTTGGTGCATTTTGTGGCCAGATTTCTCCGAGTTTACGTTTCGTTTTAATTACAGCCGCGATAAGGAAAGCTGTGAATACAATTTGGCAGGTCTGAATGAGATTACAATTGTCATGTATGTTTATCGTTTTAATACCTGGTGAAGTGTGTAATGTTGACCGATAAACTGCCTCTGTTTACCTTTAACTTTCGACGCCCACCTTTAGGCCACATTGCTAAGAGAGGGTTAATTGCTAAAATATTTGGCTCTAGATTTTTTTTCCATCGTGGGTTGAATGTTTAACAGGCTTGGCTTTACTAGACAAATCTCTCTTTTGGGGGCATAAATAACCCGAGCAATGCCCTAAAGACTGGCAGGATACAACGATATGACATTGCAAGCCGCTAGACCCGTGGGTTTCCGTCAGGATTTTGTCTCCGTCCATATTGGATGTAACATGCCGGATTGGATCTATCATGCTAGAAACTTTACAAAGCTTGTCATATTTCTTCTCAACTTTGAAAGACAATTTAAAAAAAATTATATCTATTATTCAATTAACATTTTTTTTAAATTTAAATTTTTTTTTTTGCTGAAAATTTAAACGATCACATCCGGAGACTTGATTCGCGTTTGTCATGCGCAGAGAATACCAATATAATTCTATCAGCGAACTCAATGTTTCAACTTCCGTTTTTTTTCAAGCTCGACTGTCACGCGATGTTTTTAGTAGTCCTGGTGCTGATACTAATAGCGATCCCTGTTTCACCCCCCCCCCCCCCAATCTCTTTTAATACCACCAGAGAAAAGTCTAGCAATGTGGGTGGTACTCCCCTAATGGGAGGCGCCTGTCTAGGCGTGCTGGTGTTCACAGCACGCCCCTCACCGTATTTCAGTCACTGCCGACTGGTCAGTCCGGTAGGTGAGTAGGTTGTTTAGACTCGGCTTTCAACACGACTCGAAATGAGGGTCAGTCGGTCCGTTCTGTTTGAAGTCAGCGAAAGCACAACGGCGGGGAGATAAGCACTCACACAAAGAGACAAATACCTTTTTTTTTATCAGCTCGGCACTAGAGCGGCTCAAAGCAGGGGAGGGAAGGCCGTAATGAAGAGGGTACCTGTAGAGAAAAGTAGCAATGTTCATGATCATTGTTTTCGAGTTTTGAATATATATATATATATATATATATATATATATATATATATATATATATATATATATATATATATATATATATAGTATCGATGGCTTTACATAACAGATTACAGCTCCACGATCTAAACGATGTTTAAAGCATCTATTTTTAGAACAAAGATTGCTCTTGTAAGAAAATAGTGTTGTCTTTATGTAAGGAGTTTTTGATGCTAGATCACAGCCCAGGGCGTCTCCTTACCTGCTGTGGTCATCCCGTGCATGGGGTAACAGGATAGCTCAGGTGCTAAAGTCGAAGTGCTTTAATGATTTTCTATTTGTAGCCTGTTGCTTCTGGCGTGGGTAACCACGTTTTAATTATATGACCGTGTTTGGCTTTCAGTGCCCAAGATTTTTCTGGCCAGCAAGGAGTACGAGGTGGACGAGAGCGGCCATTTTGTGGAGGTCAAGGTCAGAAGGGCCGGAACTGACCTGAGCATGTCTTCAAGCGTGACGGTGAAAACGAGGAAAAGTGACCCCCAGTCGGCCGAAGGTGAGGGGTGAAAGGTTATGTTATGTGTGTCAAGGTTTAAACTCTGTGAGTCAGAAGAGCTGGGTAGAGACATGAACACCATACCAACTCTAATAAGGTCCCATCAAGGATGTGTGGGTCAAGCGAGTTGGGTACATATTATAGCTAGGTGGACTCAAAGACGACGATTGAGTCAGGTACTCATTATAGCTGGGTAGACTCAATGACGTCTTACTGACTTAAATCAGGTACCCATAAGGTCTGGGTGAACCTATTTTTTAATTTTTATAACTAACCGTAAACTTTGTTTTTACTCAAATTATATTTTTTTTATATTAATTAAATAATTCTAGCAATGTCTAAAGCAGTTACTCGTATTTGAATTTTTTGAAAGGTGTCCCTTTATTTAGGGGATCCAAAATTTGCAATGGTTGTTATTCCGTACGTGTGCAATTTAATGTATCTCATCAAAATTGAATAGAAGTATGTTATAATAAAGCTACAATTTTTAGACTTTCAAACAAAACCTACAGTTAAGTATTCAATAGGTAAAATATATTAATTCACAAGGTTACATATTTAGTATTAAAAATTTATTATAAATATTACGTAATGAAGTTTAAAGCGTTTTATTGTGTTTTTCAAGCATGTGTTATATACACTTGGTTAACTTAGCTATCTTTGTGAAAGTTACTTCCCTTGAATGAAATTTTGGTATTTGGATTTTCAAATGGGAGATAATTCGTTGCTTAACTTTACATTCATTTCAAATTCCTCACCTTAGGTTAACCGCTTACATATCTTTTTTTTATAAATTCATGTGCATATACAATCATGAAATTTTATACATACAAAATATTCTGTGTTATCATGTTTTATAAACAGTGCTACTTATATTTACATTATGATTTATACCTTACTTTTACTAACATATCTTTGACAATGAGTGTGATTATGCTTCGTAAACATTCGTTGATTGATTCTTAGTAAGTAACAAAACGTCTAAACTAAAATTTCAGCATAAAATTGGGTATATAATAAATGACTTGATAAATAATTATATTTCTTGTTATGAAAGGACAATCGTTCATTGATGGGTCTTCGGGTGGTGGTTCGTTACGTGCATCTGGATGCCTTTTTCTGTCGGGAGGTTTACGGTGCAAATGCGGCATTCACATGTAGTCTCTTCATAGTGTACTTGTCTGTAGTGCCTATTTATGTCGGTGTGAACTGTTTTATCGTCTCAGATGCTGCACTGTTTGAGAACTTTGTGTGTTTTGTTCTCATGAGCCTCGGCTTCCGTGGGTGTTGTATACTTCTTGGTGCAGAACTTGCATTGCGAGATGTCGTGGACTATCTTTATGGTTTTTAAAGCCTTTGTTGTTTTCCCTAACGCTGTGGGGCTGAGTTCATGTTTTCTTTTGGTAAACGTGGTGATGTCCATTTCCATTTCCGGGTTGAGGCTTGTTGTTGCAATGTTTTGATATGTTGTTGTTGTTGATTCTCCCACTGGTGGCTTTGCTGAAGTCGTAATTGGAGTTGCTTGTTAATTCGTCGACTTTGGAGATTCCGTTGGTTGCTGCGGTGTGGGTGACCCGCCTGGTGGCTCTGTTATAATCGTCAGTGAACTTGGTTGTTGGTCCCTCGGTTGTTGCGGTGCGGGTAGTCCTGTATTCTGTGTGGTTGAGAGATTTGCTTCTTGGCAGTGATTCGTCCAGTGAAGGGTGGAGGAGCAGATTTGACATGCTCGTCTTCTCCCGGCGATTGCGATTAGGATAGTGTGTGATTTTTGTAGTTAATTTGGATGTAGTGAGCAGAGGCGTAGCGACCCCTCCCGGCGCAAGGGGACAAACTTTCGATTTGCACCCCCCCCCCCCTCGAACTTTTCATTTGTACCCTCTTCAAACTTTCGATTTTCACCCCCCCCTCGAACTTTTCATTTGCACCCCCCCTCAAACTTTCGATTTGCACCCTCCCCTCAAACTTTCGATTTTCACCTCAACCCCTCGAACTTTTCATTTGCGCCCCCCCCCCCCCCCCTAAGGTCGGCGCCCAGGGACATATGCCCCCCGCCCCCCTCGCTACGCCTCTGGTAGTGAGGGATAGTTGTTGGGTTATCGGTGTAGGTGTAGACAGAAAAGCTGCGATTATTAGTGTGTGGGATTGTGTTTATGGATGGCTCTTTGTTGCTATATGGGCCTAGTGCTTGTATGAGTGTAGCATTGTCAAGTGTAGGGGGTACCCATCTGAGGGTCCCGTTGATTTTGTCGTTTTCATGGAATGAGAATTGCAATGTGTTGTGCATTGTGGTGACGTTGAAGGCTCGTGAGGAGAAGTACCAAGTGTCAGCTAAGCCATAATTGAGTAGAAGAATTGATGGTTGCTGATAAGCTGTCTTATTATATGACCTCGCAGGTTTGGTTAAACTCTTGAAGTGATGAGTACTTGCATAGTAGGTGTTTCAGCTGGATAAAGGTCTGGACATTCTTCCTGTGGTAGATCAAGGATTGCTGTTGTTGACTTGGCTGCAAAGGATGGGGCCCAAGTTTTCATTAAGCCGGATCTCTCAACCTAGAGGGAACAAAAATGGGCGCAACCCCATTGTAGACTTGCGTTATATTTGCATAGTCCATAGAGATAATGACTAGTAGTCTAATAGATAAGGTTCAATTCTGTATGTTTGTCCTCGAGACGTTATAAGGAGTCAACACTTCCGATGTAGTAGTCATACGTTCTACCGCTCTACCACGTCGTTCGACCATGAAATATATGAATAATACTATTTGCCAGTTGGGTAATATACAACAAATAGATCTAATAACTAAAAAGCGTTAAGGTCTCGCTGTTGACAATAGTAAAAGAAGAAATACCGTGGTGCGTGTTCTTTAGTGCTAAAGAGAAGGTATCTACTATTCTAATAATGGACTCTTTACTAAAATAAAATGAATTGTCTATCTATACTGACGTCTTACCTCCCTTGTTCCCATCTAGCCGGCATCGATTACTTCGCTTTGAACAAGGTCCTGGAGTTCGGTCCCAACGTTACAGAGCGGACGGTTACCGTTACAATAGTGGACGACAGTGAGCAGCCGTCAATAGAGGGGCCGGAGAGGTTCATTGTCCAGCTGAGGTCACCGGTCAACGCTCTACTGGTTGACCCCACAACGGCCATGGTCACCATTGATGACGCCATCTCGGACTGTAAGTACCGCAAACTTCTTTGATCGAGGTCCTAATTCAGCCGTCAATATCTGCCTGAAACGGATCCACTGGGATCAACCGTAGAAAAAGCTACTCAATAGAGTGTATAATTATATATATATATATATATATATATATATATATATATATATATATATATATATATATATATATATATATATATATATATATATATATATATATATATATATATATATATATATTTATATATTTATATATACTTTTTCTTTCGATCACCCATTTGGCCTATGTATAAATGTTATCTTCTCCTCTTGCCGCCGGCAGTGCCCAGTGTCCAGTTTAAACAGTCCAGCTACCAAGTCCGCGAGAACGAGGGTGAGGTCCGGGCGAGCGTGCTGAGAACAGGGGACATCACCCACGAGTCCACTGTCGTCTGCTACACCCAGCAGGGCACGGCACGGGCAGGCGACGACTACGTAGAGAGGGTGGAGGACATCGACTCAGTCCTGGTCTTCCAGAAAGGTGAGTGCATCTTTTGACCGTAAGATAGGTATCATTTCACGTTTTACCCGATTGATGGTCCCTACCATATTTAAAACTACATTTTTAAAAAAAAATCGGTATCACCTTCTACCTTTCTTATACAACCATTATTGAAATTGGTACAAATAGCAAACGGAAATACGATCCGCGTTTGGAATATTTAAAAACAATATTTTATTTTTAGGATTTCATAAAATACATAGATTGTCGATATTTAAAAAAAAAACGAGCACGAAAAATCCTGACGTAAAACAAACTAGAGCTGCAAAGACTTTCTGTCTCGTAATGATCTCGCGGCATCTTCAAATCTCATTCACCGATTGTTTTTGTTGTCGAATACAAAAAATACGTTGGTAATTCAATAAGTCAATAGCTTGAAATCACTCCGAATTTAGTCAAGCGAAGGGCGGGTTTATTTTTGTTGTTCATCATAACGGAGCCGACAGGGCTAGGGGTGTTGGGAGAATGGCGTGAGCAGAACTAGACTCTAGGTGCCAAAGGGTGAGTCAAGTTTGTAAACATGGGGTGAGGAAGACATGTTTGGGTGTAGCGTTTCACGCACGTCTCAACACGCACGTCAGCAGACGATAGGCAGACGACCTCTAGTTCCAGCTACAACAGCAGAAATTTGAAACTCCCGCGAGCAC